CAAAATCTTCCCCGCATACGACCCCTGCCCGCGTTGCGTCGATAGAAAACCCGTCTGGAAAAACAGTGCGCGTGGAGAGCTGGCTGGGAAAGCACAGGCAGCGTCTGGTGCTGTTGGCGGATCCGCCGCGCCGCACTGTGCTGCGGGACCACTGATCGGGCAGCTACTGAAAGTGACCGTTTCGCAACGAACGACAGCCCAACTACTCTTGAATTGGTTAATCGAAACCTGTACTGAATTCGAAAAAAAAAAAAGAGACTGCTTATCACACGGTTCTAGAGTGGTTCCTTACCTGTGCCGGCACGAAGAACCAGCGGCTTGGCCGCGAGTGACAAGGACTGCTTTTGCACAGCTAGCATTGTTATCTACTAAATGTGTGAATGTAAATGGAAAAAAGCTGAGGTCAGGAAAAAAAAGTTTGTTTGCGGACGGGATGGAGGTCGACGAAGATCAAGCCTGGCTTTAAATCCAAGCGCCAAGCATTTCCTTGTAAAAGGCCGTTACAGTAATCACTACGGCCAATCGAACACATCGCCGCAAATTTCCCCGGTTTGCTTCTGGGCCGATCGCCGAGGTCAATTATATCACTGCGATATACCAGTAATCAGCGGATACTAAAAAGGCTACCAGATATCCTGGGCGTAGTGACCATCCGAGATCAGGTCGGAAAGGTACGTGCTCGCCTCGTCGGCAGATAGGCCGCCATGCTCTTCAAAGATCCGAGCCATGGCTGCACTCATACTCTTGCCCAGCTTATCAGCCGATCCGCAGACGTAGATGCGCCCACCGCTCTGCAGATGCGACCAGATCTTGGCTCCATCCTGGGAAACGTGGTGCTGCACATACTTGCACTCATCACCGACCCGCGAGAATGCTGTCTGCAGCTTGGACAGCGTGCCGTCTTGGACATACTGCTCGAGCTCGTCCTTGTACAGGTAGTCGTACTCGGGCTGCGGCAGCCAAAGTACATGGCGCATCGCCAATGCCAGCAAGCTTCATCTCCTGCAGGAATCCGCGGAACGGAGCAACTCCAGTACCGGCGCCGACGAACACCACAGGCACATCCGATGAAGGTGGCAGGTGGAACACGTCTTGCGCTGGGAGATGTGACACAGATACACGAGCACCCGCCTCCAACGATGCCAGATACTCGGTTGCCAGACCACCGTAGGAGCGGCCATTGACGGTATCGTTGACAATGGCAGCTGAGATGTGGACTTCATTGCCAACAACCGACTGGCAGCTGGCGATCGAGTACCGCCGGGGATCCATGGCCGACACAAAGTGAAGCAGCGTTGCAAATGGAATCTGGCGCACCAGCGGTGCATACGTGCGCAGCACATCCAGAACAGTGCGGTTCTGTGCTGTGAATGCACTCCAGCCAGCCGACTGCTTGCCTAGCGTGTTGACGTCTTCAGCAGCCTTGCGCAGCGAATCATAGGCAGGCTCATTGCCTGAAGCCTCACTCAGCGCAACAACCAGCTCGCGTGAAGGTGCTTCCTTCCAGTCGCAGACATATTGGAGAGGCATCACCGACGGTGCATGCGTGGCCATAGATAGCTGCTGCTAGCAGAGGGCAAAGCGCGAAGCGTCCGACACCTGCTCCAGCTCGAATACTGTATCCAGCTCGAGCTCTAGGATCACGGAAACCTCACGCACAACACCTGGCGGTTGACTGGGTAGATATTGAGGTGGTCGCCAGTCGTGTACGAGATATCTGATGTGTCATCCAGAGTGATCTCGATATGCCGAGTGCTGCGACCGCTCCTTTCGACGTCCTGCAGCTCCGGTTGACTTTGACTGATGCGTTCTCCAGTGACAATCTGAACGGGGGCAGCAGGGCTGTTTGTCAACGTACTTTAGCGAGTACGACAGCGACTTGTCCCGTGGCAACATCAATGTAGGCATCGACACTGGAGCCGTAGTGATCAGTCAGAATCATTCCCGACCTGGAGTGACCACTTCATGAACTCGTCGTCGAGATCGTCGTTGGAATCTCCCGCTGTAAACTCCGTCAGTGGCGTGGCACCAAGCTCATCAAGACGCTGGTACAGATGGCGCGGGAACTTCAGGAACGTGTGCCAGAGCGAGTTGCCGCAGCCAAACAGCACAAAGTCGACGTCCTTGAGGATATCGGCGCGGGTCTCCTGGTCGAGCAGCTTGGCAAAGTTTCTGGCGTTGTCGGGTGGCATTCCGTTGTACGTACTGGTAATAGCCACAACCAGAGAGCGCCTGCCATCGGCAGACTGCATTGAAGCAAAATCCCAGTCATTCAGCGACACTAGAGTAATGTCAGCAAACCCCATGCGCTTCAGCTGCTCGGCCATCTGCGTCGCATAGTCATCGCTGGTGCCCATGTTTGATCCGTACACAACAAATGTACGCGGCAGCCTGTCAGCAGAGACTGTGTGAGTAAGTGGGTGCAGAACGGCATGTTCGACGGTGTGATTGCCATTGACACCAGCAGCGTCTGCTGCCAATGGAGTGTCGGCATCGGGAAGACTCGTGCGCTTCTGGACAGTCATGAAGAGATCCATCGGACTTGTGGTAAGCTTAGTCGGGTGATACCGGAGCTCGCCATCGCCAACATCATGGAACTCGTATCTCGACAGCAAGCGAGCTAGCACAGCTCGTATCTCCATCATTGCGAACTGGCGACCCAGGCATGCGCGATCTCCTGTCGAAAAAGGAATCCATGCACCAGGCTTGATATTCTTGATATTCTCAGGCGAAAAGCGGTCTGGGTCAAACACAGTCGGGTTCGGGAATGACTTGGGGTTCCTCTGAAGACTCCACACACTAATCAGTGGGACATCACCCTTGCGCATAATGAGGCCACCAGGCCAAAATGCAGTCTTTCTTGCATATACGAAGCAGCCCGGACACTGGCGGAAACAGGCGCAGTGTCTCGTAGATAATCTGTGTCAGGTAGGTCAGCTTGTTGGTTTGCTGGATTGTCGGCGATGTATCAGCAGTGATCCCGGCGGTAGCAAGTTCTTGTAGCGCCCGATGCTGAACGTCGCGGTGCTTGTCCAAGAGCTGCAGTGCAAAAGCAATAGTTGAGCTGCTTGTCTCTGTGCCTGCAATTCCGAAGGTAAGGATCTCATCTTGGATCAGCCGGTCGCTAAGCCCAACCAGGTTGCCGTCCTCGTCAGGTGCGCGCGCATTAAGCATAAAGCCAAGCAAATCCCTTTTCATGCTGGCTGCCTCCGGTGAGTTGCGGCGCTCATCGATAACCTGCTGTACTGTGGCCTTCATATTGCGCATGTGCTCTGCGAACATGCGGTTGGCAGCGATGGGCAAATATTTCCAGAGCGACGTACGGAAAAACCGAACGTTCATCTGCTGAAGACAATAGTCCATGCCCTCAGTGAACGGGTGCTGACCAGTGCCAGCTGGGTCAAGCAGATTGAAGTCATAATCAAATCCAATCTTACCAATCATCTGGAATGTGATGTTTGTCGCAAAAACTAACCATATCAATCGGGACGCCGATATGGCTGTCGAGCCACTCGCAGGCCTGCTCGGAAATTTCGGCCATTCTGTGGCCGTAAAGCTTCATTGCACTAGCGGAGAACGCGGAACAAGTAAGCGGTGTGCCAATTTCCAATCCCTGTGGCCCGATGGAGAGGTAAATAGCCCATTTCCAGACAGCTCATGCAGTTCAGACCATGGAAAGCGCATCGACTTTTCAAAGTATTCACCGTCGTCAATCATCACATTCGTCACATCAGGGTCTCTGGTAATGATTCCCTTTGTTCCAAACATGTGGAATGAGAAGGTGTCATCGTACTTGTCGAAAATGTCGACGTACCGCCCACGCATGTCGTCCATGATCATCAATGCAATCCCAACAACTGGAGAGCCTGGGACATATGTCACTTCTCGACCAGATATTGGCTGGGCAAGATAAATCACCCTGTTGCGCTGGACTTGGTCAACAGAAACAACTGCATTCCCTTCGCTGTCCTCAAATGCAACTGCGTCAGGGATAGTATCGATTTCGGAAGAGCGTCTGGCGACATTGCTGCGAAGTAGTGTCAAATCGGTGTCCGTAGCGGAGACCTGGACAACAAAGCCATCCTTATCGGGCTGTTTGCCCTTCTCGACGACGATGACGAAGAAATCCGCATCAGGAGGATAGGAATTCTTAAGCTTGGATAAAGCCAATGGCTCGTGGTTAACTGGACAGGCTGAAAGCATAGTAGGATGAGAGAATATGTCAATAGGTAGACTGATGTCTGTATAGTTGAAGTGCTAGGCTGCATTCGCTTCGGCTCGAAAAGAGATTAATATGCCCTAGGGACGCAGTCGTTCAGAGGGTCTGGTGCGGAAATTTGCCGTGTGAGCCCATTCACACAGCAGCATTCACTATTCTCTACATGTCCTCATGGCGTGTGAGTGGAAGCCAAAACAATCACTCTCTGGCTGACCCAATTTCAACATTGTATGTAGGAGCCAACCCTTTCCACGCTATTCGATTGATATTTCATGGATAAAGAAACGCACAGAGATATGATTTCTAACCTGCCAAGATAGTTATATATACTCCACAAATGCGATAGTCGAATGATCAATACAGCAAACATTACCTTGACTTTGCTATGTCACAGCCAGCCTTTACTTGTTATCCGAAAAGAGGAACCCTATTGGCGCTGCACTATTTTTTCTAGACAAACACATGTCGAATACAATAGAAATCCACACATGATGGCGCTCGGACTCTCACGAATCCTCATAAATCTATACATTCCGCTATGTTTTGTTTCTGTTTTTGGTGGCTTTATGCTTCCACCATGCAGCGGAAGATGTACAGGAAGAAAGTGGCTGAATTCCAACAATCATTCAAGCGGGAAAAGAGGCTGCAGCTAACAACCCAATGTCACAAAAATAGTGCCAAAGCAATGCGAAGTGTAAAGTCGCTGGCAAGCCTGCCTTACTACAATGCACTTGGCTCCTTTTTGGAGTTCCAGTCATTTTTCCCTAATATCTGGTGCTGGGGGCTCAGCTCATTTTGATGTCCATATCTAAATAGTGTAGGGAGCTGATGGGAAAGTGCTGTACGGGTTGAGGGTGAGCCGTGCCAATTGTATGTGAACTTTCGTGTATGAAGATATTTGTCCATGGTGTCTTCCCATGCACAGTGCAAACACTCCTTGCCTTATCCGCTTGCGTAAAGATTGGCTCTACGTGCACAGGTCCATTCCTATATCAATCCGCTGTTGTCAAGATACTCAAGAGCAACACATACAGAATTTTATTCTCCCTCTTGACAACATTTTAAACAGCACTTTCACCTATAGTTGACTACTAGCCTCCAATGGCTCACTACCCTATTACCATCGTTGGGACCGTAATTAACGTCTCTGGCAGCCTTTCTGCCCAAGCAGAAGCCCTTGCCGCTCGCTTTCCATTCAAGGATTCCCCCACCGAAATCGAGACTGTTGCACGCTTTGTCAACTTTGCTGCAACTGAGAACGCTGATGTTGCTGTTTCTGCCTTCCAGCACCTTCACCAGAAGTACTGCTCGATTGACAACATCCACGCTGTTGTCCAGCAGCTCAACCTCACCACCAAGCAAGCACAGTCTGTCCTCAAGGGGTACTACTCGGTCTGGGACGTGCTTGAATCCCGTAAGATGCTGCCGGATGTTCCTCGCCCTGCACTCTTTGCCAATGGCAAAGTGAAGCTGACTGCCATGTTTGGCGGTCAGGGTGGAATGGACAATTACCTGGATGAAGCTACCTGGCTTCTTGACGTCTATCGTCCGCTTCTTGCTGGCTACGTCATGGAGATGGCTGCATTCCTTCTTGATACTTCAAAGGAGGATGTCTTTGCCGATGTCTACGAGTATCCGGTGGATCTTCTAGACTGGCTCTATCGGTCTGAATCCCGCCCTGACATGGAGTATCTCTCGCTCGCACCAGTTGCAGCGCCTATTCTGGCTCTAATCCAGCTCATGCACCTGATGGTCTTGTACAAGACACTTGGGCTTAGTCCTGGCGAACTTTCTCAGTCATTCAAAGGTAGGTGGCATATTGACTCTCTACATCCGGTGTGCATCGTAAAAGTCATACAGAGTACTAATTTCCCCCTTATATTACGTAGGTGCAATTGGCCATAGCCAAGGTGTTGTCCTTGCGGCGATGCTACCGACGTTGACTGATGAAAAGTCATTCTACGACAATTCAAGGATTGTCTTGGGAATTCTTATTGCGGGTGGTTCCAGGATCCAGCTCGATGTCCCACTCGATACAATCGATGTGAGAGATGCTAGCAACAGTGACGATGGGGGTAGCAAGCCGTCGCCGATGGTATCTATCCGTGGTGTTCCTCTTCCGGTGCTTGAGAAACTGATTGCTCACTTTAACTCGTGCTGCCTCTTGCCGATTGACCACGTCTTTCTCGCTCTCATCAACAGCTTTGACAGTTTTGTTGTCACTGGCCGTCTGAAGGTTGTCATGCAGTTTGTCCAGTTCCTCCACCAGCATTGTGGGGAACCCGGTGCCGACCAGTCAAATACCCCATTTTCTGTGCACAAGCCAGTTGTGGACATGAGCTATGTGAACTCAAGCATCGTGACCCACTGCCCCCTCTTGCAAGATACTGCTGACTGGATTTACGCATTCGTCACTGAGAGAGGGTGGGTTTACAAGTCGCAAACTGGTACCGGTGCAGACCTAGATACCACTCGTATGGTCATCGACAAAGTTTGCATTCTGCGCGTCGACTGGCCAGCAACAGTCAAGGGAGCGGGTGCAACACACATTGTTGATTTAAGCCCTGGTGGGTTCAGCGTCTTTGCTCGACTGGCACGCGGTATCGTTGATGGTGGCGGCGTCAACATCATTAGCTGCAGCTCGCTCATCCCCCACAAACACCGACTTCTGGGTTCCAAGGCTGACCTTTTCCAGCGCAACATTCGCTTGGTGATCCAGTCTATGGATTGGAAGAGAGCATTCAGCCCCAGGCTTGTCCGAGTCAAGAGCACTGCGCAGGTTCACATCAACTCGCCGATGTTCCACGCCTTAGGGTGCCCACCAGTGATGGTGTCTGCTGTTGAACCGAGCACCACTAGTGTTCAGCTGGTTGCGGCTGCAATCAACGCCGGCTATCATGCCGAGCTCTCCACCACTAGGATTACAAGTGCTGGCCAACTGCAGAGACAAGTGGCCGACCTAGTCCAGCTCATTGAACCTGGCCAGGGCATTACCCTTTGCTGCGATTATTCAAGCCAGGAGCAATGGGCAACCTTGTTCCCAGAGATTCTGCGCATGTGCCAAGCAGGCCAGCCGATCGTTGGACTGAGTATTTCTGGCTCTATCCCATCAGCTGCGGCAGCGACCGACATTATTGCCGGTATACGTGACGCTGGTCTTCGTCATATCACTCTCAAGGCTGCAACTCTGGCCGACATTCGTGCTACGATCGCCATTTCGAAGATGGATCGCACGTTTCCTGTCATTCTTCAGTGGATGGGTGGCCATAACGGCGGCTACCATTCGTGGGACGACTTTTACCAGCTAATTCTCGAGACCTACAGCCTGCTCCGATTCCACAGGAACATTGTCCTTGTCGCTGGATCCGGTATTGGCGATGCGGACACTGCGATGCAGTACATGTCTGGTAGCTGGAGTGTGCCATTCGGGCGGCCACCGATGCCATTTGACGGAGTTGCGATTGGCTCTTGTGTCATGGTCGCAAAAGAGTCTGATCTTTCAGATGCTACCAAGCAGCTCATCGCTGGTACAGCTGGTGTTGGCCCAAACGAGTGGATGGATACGTACAGCGGTGTTGCTGGTGGTGTCACATCAATCACTGGCGAAAATGGCAAGCCAATGCACGTTATTGCGACGCGTGCAGCTCTATTCCTCAAGGACCTACAGGGCTCTATATTCTCACTGGCAGCTGACAAGCAGACTGGGCTTCTCCAGCAGAAGGGAGACTCCATAGTCCAGCGGCTGAACTCAGACTACATCAAGCCCTGGTTCGGCCAAAAAGGCAGACGGCTCGGTTGCTGAACTGCAGGATATGACCTACCTGGAGATCATCCATAGAATGATCGAGCTCATGTATGTCGACGATAGGTCGTGCTGGCTGGATGATTCCTACTGCAAAATTGTCGGTGATTTTATAAGTCGGACTGAAAATCGCTTCTGCAGTCATGAACGAGAATGCATCTTCTCCAGCTACTACGAGCTAATGGATGACCTGCAGTCTCCTATCCAGTCTCTTACTGCAAACCTATCCTGAGCTTGGTACACAGATAGTATCTGCAGATGATGCTGCGTACTTCCTCATACTCTGCTCTCGTTCTGACCAATATCCAGTTCCATTCGTTCCTGTTCTCGATGGCAATCTAGAGACGTGGATGCTGCAGAGTGCTGTTTCCTTGTCGGCTAATAGTGGCTATATCACTAGTCATGATGTCCAGCGTCAGCTGGTTCCCTATGGGCCAGTTTCAGCCGGATACTCGTCTGCTGCCAACGCACCTGTGAGGGATATTCTGGATGACGTGTATCATGCCATGGTTCGTAGTCAATGCAAGAACAGTCCAGCTACGATACCAACAACGGAATATATTGGTGCTGAGCCCAAACATACCACTTTACAGTCGGTTATATCCAGAGGCATCATGGGCACAGGTCACCTATATACCCTTCCATCTGACAACGGATCCCTCCCAGACACTGACCCATGGCTAGAGTTGCTGGCAGGGCCAAAGAAGAGCTGGCTACGCGCACTACTGACTTCACCAGCTATAGTGCAGGGGACCAGGTTTGTCGCTAACAGCGTCAGGAGGATCATGCGTCCCATGTCAAACCAGTCCGGTGTCGATCTCAGAGTCAGATGGAATCCCACAGAAACTCGAGGTATTCGACAGCCAAGGGGACTTGAATATCGTAATCGAGTATGCTGCGCCCAGCAACATCACGGTCAGAGTTATTCTGCCAGCTAATGGCGAAAAACCGTGAACTGGTTCTCAAATTTCTGTACTGCCCGACACGCCCTGCGATGCCAATCACAGAAGTGATGGATGGCCGTGATGGACGTATCCACGAGTTTTATTTTGGCCACGACAACCCACCTCATCCTACTCTTGGAGACATGTCTGTTGACTCAGACATTGAGTCACCAGTAATCCGATGCCAGCCATTTGGTATTACCTACGATCACATCCGTCAGTATTGTAGAAATGTTCAAAATAAGCAGAGATGCTACATTTCAGATACAAGCCACTACGGATATGCCCCAATGGACATGGTCTTTCTAATCGGATGGCAAGGGCTTATGGCGGTGCTAGATAACCAACAGCTGAGCTCAGGGTTGTTAGACATGGTTCACCTGGAGAACAGTATGGACTACATCGACAGTGGTTCACTGCTACGTGTTGGCGACTCTATTACCTCAGAAGCTGAGTTGGTGTCTGCTATGAATTCCGATGTGGGAAAGGTGCTGACCATCAGCCTAAGGTTTTTCAGACAACGGACGTTGATAGCTCAGATGGCGACTGTCCTCCTGTTCAGAGGACACAAAATCCTTCCGCCACTTGCTTTCAGTAAGGAGAGCAAATCAGCATCACTTGTTGTTTTGAACTCTGTAGCTGACGTTGCAGTGCTTGAAACTAAAGACTGGTTTGTCTACCTGGAGAATTCGCCAGCAAAGCTCACTGCAGGGTCAACAGTTGAGTTCGTGCTGGACACCAGATGCAGGTTTAGATCTGACGGATACTACGCATCTGTGTCAATGGCTGGTCCTGTGTTTGCTGTTTTGGATGGGGATAAGCGTGTCCACATTGCAAATGTTGACTATCAGGCTGCTGATGTAAATGGAAATGCTGTTGCCGCATACCTCGCTAAGAGTTCGGTTGATCAGCGGTCGGGCAGTACCTTTGACAATGGAGGACATAAGGTTTTGCCGATGCCTGGGGCTACAGCACAGTTCCGCGCCCCATCTGTCTGCGGAGAGTATGCGCGTGTATCTGGAGATTACAACCCGATACATTTATCTTCACCGATTGCGAGCTATGTTGGGCTGTCAAGACCAATTGTTCACGGGATGTGGGTTTCTGCCGCAACACGGGCAGTTGTCGAAAGATATGCCGCAGGCGGGGATCCGGCAAGATTCCGTTCGTTCAAAACAGAGTTTGTCGGAATGGTGTTCCTGGGTGATGCACTAGATGTAGAGTTGAGCCATGTGGGAATGAAAGATGGGCTCATGCTCTTTGAGGGCAGGACTGTCAATCAGCACCACGCTGCTGTTATGACCTTCACAGCAAAGGTTGAGCAGCCCAAGACTGCATATCTGTTCACCGGGCAGGGTGCCCAGTTTGTGGATATGGGTATGGATTTGTACGCAAATTCTCCTGCTGCCCGCGATGTCTGGGACCGAGCAGAAAAGCACATGTTTGACAAGTATGGAATATCGCTGCTTGACATCTTGCGCAGTAATCCAAAAAAGTTCCATGTTCACTTTGGAGGGGCCGCCGGGAAGAGAGTACTTGGCAATTATCTCAACCTGTCTAGCGAGACTCAAGGGGCGTCATCCCAGCTATTTGCGAGGATTACTCCTAAGGCTACAAGATTCACCTACTACTCAGCCAGTGGGCTGCTGGATTCATCGCTTTTCGCGCAGCCTATTCAACTGGTACTGGCGCTTGCGTATGTGGCAGACATGGAATCCTGCGGGTTAATCCAGCCTGCAACAGCATTTGCTGGCCATTCACTTGGTGAACTTTGCTCGCTAGCAGCTATTGGAAAAATTGTGTCTGTTGAGGCTGCAGTTGAGCTCGCATTTTTCCGTGGACTCATCCTACACACATCGGTTGACCGCGATGACAATGGACGATCCCAGTATGCCATGATGGCTGTCAATACATCAAAAGTCGGTGAATGGTTTTCCCTTGACATATTGACTAGCCTTGTCGAGCGAATCCAGAAGCAATGCAGGCAGCTGCTCGAAATCAATAACCACAACATACAATGCCAGCAATATATTGTGACAGGGCATAAGACTGCGCTGGTAGCTCTTACTGACGTTCTAAATAAGCTCTGTCATGATGAGGCATTCAGGTCCGAATGTTCGAACGAGAGTGATTTGTCCAGTTTGGTATCCAGCGCCTGCCTTGCCTGTAAGGATCGGGGTGCCGAGCTTGTTAATGGCGCAGCAACCATTGTTATAACGGGAGTTGATGTCCCATCCCACTCCAAACATCTTCTGAGCAGTGTCGATGTGTTCAGGAACATCCTGCTAAAGGCGATTTCCCCTACTTCTGTCGATGCCACTAGGCTTGCTGGAAAGTATATTCCAAATATAACAGGCGTGCCATTTGAGGTAACGAAGAGGTACATTTCGCTAGTTCACAGTATTTGCCAATCTCCTGTTCTAGCCAGCAAGATTGGAAGCGCTCGATGATAGCATCTCGACTGATTCAGTTGCAATGGATAACCTTGCTTGTATGCTGCTGGTTGAGTTGCTTGCATACCAGCTCGCATTCCCAGTACAGTGGATAGCAACCCAGCAGTCACTTCTCAACAGCGGCGACATTCGAAGAGTGGCCGAGATCGGGCCCGCTCCGGTACTGGGCAAGATGATGAGGCAGTCAATGTCTGGCTCCACAAATCGTCGCTCATCAATCGAGCTCCTCCACGTTTCCGATGATAGGAAAGCTGTGTACTTTTTACCGCCAGAAGTCAACGATGTGTCGAGCGTGGCTACGGCTGATGAAGTCCAGAGTGAACCTACGACATTGGCAATGGAATCGATGAAGAGAGGGATGTGTCACTGGATCATGAACAAGTGGTAGAGAACTATATCCAAGCAGGAAAGCAGTTCTCAAATCGTAAGCCAACAAGTAATATCTGAGAAACCAGTTGACCAGGCCGATATTGTTCGCGCAATAATTGGCCAGAAACTGAAACGGCTGTCAATTTCAATTCCTGCCAACCAGCCCATCAAGGTCATAACGGCAGGCAAGTCAACAATTCTGAACATGATTGCATCCGACTTGCAAAAGGAGTTCGGTCGGCAGATACCAAGTACTGCAGAGGACATGACGATTGCTGAACTTGTTGGGCGTCTTGGTCCACATGACGGGAAGCTTGGAAGGCATACGCAGAATATGATTGCCAAGGTCTTTAGTTCCAAGATGCCTCGAGGTTTCTCTTTAACTTCGGCATATAACTATTTGAACGACATGTATGGGCTTGGACGGCAGCGCCAAGAAGGTCTTCTCCTGCTGGCGCTTACAATGGAGCCGTCTGAGCGCCTGACCAGTGAGCAGGATGCCAGGCAAATGGCTTAGCGAATATTGCTCAGCTGTATGCTAAAAAGGAAGGAAATTAGCTTCACCACACATACTGGCAGGTCCAACTACGAATCCCGCACTGTCACAGTCCAACACTCCAGTTGTCAACAGTGACGTGTTCAGCTTGTCTCAAGAGAAATTGAACATGCTAGCGACTCGGCAGATCCAAGCCTTTGAGAGAGTTCACTGGGACAGATACGCAATGTTCAGATGACCTGCTGGACACGTTAAAACAGAAAGTCACCGCCTACGCAAAGGAGCTGAGTGATTTGCAGCTAGAACTAGGAGGTGAATCTCATCAACGGTACGAAACAAAAGTTTGACCAGAAAAAGACACGGCACTACAACTCATACTGGAATTGGGTGCGCCAGGATGTGATGCAGTTGGTTGAAGACATATTGGTCAAGGATTCATTTTGACTCCAGCGATGTGGTGTCAGGAAAAGGTTGCAGATGATTTCCAACCGCTCTTGCCCCGACCTTTTGACACTAGTCGATGGATACCTGGCCGTTCTCGCTAACCACAACAGTCTTGCTACAAAACAAGCGACGCGTGTTTTAGAGGATCTGCGCCAAGTTTGCATCGATTCGAGTAACAATGCACCAGTGTATAGGGAGATATCTCTGCCCCTCCGCCCATGCACAGTGGTAACCAGCAAAGGCGATGTGGTATATTCTGAAGAAAGACGAGAGCATATGCGGACATTCAAAGATTATGTGAACGATGCACAGCAGCGTACATCCATGAATCCACACCTTCTATATATATCTGAAAGGCATGATAATGGTTCATGGGCGTATAGCGCTGGCCTTACTCGACAATACTTTGATTCCCTGAATGAGATTGTGGAGAACGGTCTGACATTCGAAGGAAAGGCTGCACTGGTCACTGGTTGTGGGCCTGGGTCAATAGGGTCAAGTATTGTTGAAGGGCTACTGACAGGAGGCGCTAGGGTCGTCGCAACAACGTCAAGCTATGGTCTGACTACGATTAGATACTTTGAAGGCCTGTACAGACAGTTTTGGTGCGCGTGGAGCAGAACTAGTTGTCGTTCCATTCAACCAAGGATCTGAGCAGGATGTCAACATGCTGATCGAGTACATTCTATGGTACAGGTGGTCTGGGGTGGGATCTGAGCTACGTCTTTCCATTTGCTGCTTTTGCTGAACGTGGTGGTGACTTGACGAACATTGATTCGCGCTCAGAACTGTCATTCCGCATATTGCTCACCAATGTTTACCGAATGATTGGTGCTATCAAGATTGCCAAGGAGGCTCATAAGTACACCCGCTCACCCAACACTGATCGTTTTGCCTAATTCCCCGAACAAAGGTACAATAGGCAATAGCGGGCTGTATGGTGAGGCAAAGATGGCGCTGCAATCACTTTACAACCGCTGGGCACTCAGAGTCCATGGTCCGAATATATCTCGCTCACTGGCGCGGATATTGGTTTTGTTCGGAACACAAGGATGACGAATGAATCACTCTGTCATCTTTGAAGGAGTGGAAGCATACAGGAGTGCGTACCCTTTTCCCGCGAGGAAATGGCGTTCAATCTTATTGGGCTGCTGAGTCCAGACACGGTGGAGCAAGCACAACTATCGCCTGTATGGGCTAATTTTACTGGATCAGATATTCCGTACTATGAATTCAGTACAAGGATATTTGGCTTGCATCTAGCACATTCCCAACTGGTCGCAGTCAACAGAGAGGTCCATTTAAGCAATATTAGCGACAATGTGGTTCAGCATCAATCCCGGTCTAGTCTGTTCAGGGGAGTTTGACACAACCTCACCCCTTGCAACCCATCGTATTTCCTTCCCACCGGACTCGCTCGTTTGACCAGCTCAAGCCACTACATTATCTCCAGGGAATGATAAAATCTTGATAAAGTCGCTGTCATAACTGGGTTTGGCGAAGTTGGTCCGTTTGGAAATGCTCGGATGCGCTGGGAAATGGAAGCATTTGGCGAGCTTTCCCATGGAGGGGTGCATTGAAGCTGGCGTGGATCATGGGTCTAATCAAGCACTTTGACGGGCAACACCCACTGACAATGGACCGTTATATTGGATGGGTCGACGCAAAGACGGATGAGCCGGTGAGGGACATGGATGTCAAGAAGGCGTATGAGCCTTACATTCTCCAGCATGTAGGCGTGCGGTTCATTGAACCGGAGCTGCATGATGGCTATGACCCACACAAGAAATCGTTTATGCGTGAGCTGCAAATCAGCCATGATCTTGAACCATTCGAGGCAACTGAAGACGAGGCAGCACATTTTTAAACATGGAAATGGCGACAGAGTTGAAACATGGGAGAATTCCAACGGAACATGGTCTGTCAGGTTCTTAAAAGGTGCAACACTGCTTGTTCCAAAAGCCCTTCGATTTGACCGCTACACAGCTACCCAAATTCCAACTGGCTGGGACCCTGCCCGATATGGCATTCCACAGGATATAATCGACAGTGTGGATAGGACTACATGCTATGCGCTAGTTTCTGCAATGGAGGCGCTGGTTTCATCTGGAATCACTGACCCCTATGAACTCTACCAGTACTTCCATGTCTCCTGAAGTTGGGCATACGATCGGTTTCATCAACTGGCGGCGTCCGAAGCCTTCGGGATATCGTCGTAAACAGGTGGGTCGAAAAGGGATGTACATTCTGGGGTACTGATCGAATCACTAGTTAAATAGTCCAGATGCATGGATAAACATGCTACTGCTGTCATCTGCAGGACCATTAAAACCTACATCAGCCGCATGGCGCAACTGCACTGGTGGCACTAGACGTAGCAATCGAGACCATCCAGAGCGGGAAAGCTAAGGTTATGCTTGCTGGGGGCGGTTGAAGGATTACACGCAGGATACAGCCTATGAGTTTGCACAATTACAGGCAACTGCTAATACAGTTGAGGAACTTGCCAAGGGTAGAGCACCAGAGGAAATGAGTAGCCATTCACCGATACTCGGTCTGGGTACATGGAGAGCTACGGATCAGGCATATTTGTTGTCATGTCGGCCTCAGCAGCGATAGAGATAGGTGCGCCAATCTATGGAGTTGTCGCTCTGACGGAGACGGCCACCGATAAACAGGGACACAATATTGGGGCCCCTGGCAGAGGCATCCTGTCTACAGCCCGTGAAGTCCATTCCCAACCGTGTTCAGATATGCTGGACTTCAATTATCGGAAAAGAGGTCTTCAGCAGGAAACATATGCATATCGATAGGGCAATGCGCCATAAACGCCAAAAACTGAATTGTGGTGGCGCGAGTCCCGGCAATCAGGTTTGCCCAATCAATTGGTGATGCACACCGGTCGACGGATGGCGGCCACAGACGTCTGGAATATCGAATTCTGGAAAGGCTGTTCTGACATATCGCCTGTTCGCGGTGCGCTGGCGACATGGGGTCTAACTGCTGATGATATCGGCATGCTCTCTTTCCACGGTACTTCAACAAGGCTGAACGATATCAACGAAGCAAGTGTTATTAACAAGTTACTGGCACATTCGGGACGTACACCTGGCTATCCTGCACCAGTCGTAAGCCAAAAATGGCTCACAGGGCACCCAAAGGCTCCAGCAGCAAGCCTGGATGCTTAATGGAGCTCTGCAGGCAATCAGTTTCTGGAATCATTCCTGGGAACAGAAACGCGGATAATATTGATACCAGAGCTCAGGAAATACGGCCATCTTGTGTTTCCATCTTGCCCCACTACAGTACCCAATCTGAAGGCAGCCTTACTTTCGTCGTTTGGCTTAGGTCAAGCCGGGTGGCATCATTTTGGTTCTTAACCCAGACTACATTCTGGCAACACTGTCAGCTGATGACTTGGAAGGCTATCAAGGCAAGGTAGAAAACGGAAAATTAAGGCGAACAGATATTTCCAGGAAGCGCTAATTGGGGCTCGCAATCTTATTAGCGTGAAGACTGCACCACCATTCACCTCTGAGCAGGAGGACGAAGTGTATCTAAATCCGTTAGCCCGTGCATCGTATGATGCCACCACTCATTCATATCACTTTTAATCAAAGTGGCTTTATCTAATTTGGTTGTTGGTAAAATATACAGGTTTTTTGTGAGTGGGTTGTATGGTTTTAGATGGCTTATATAGACTTTGCATGTGTTGGGAAGGTCATGAGTTTTAAACGAGTAGTTTGGACTGAGCCAGCCCAGAGAATTGTTGTATTGAATAAAGAGCGGGCAGAAAGCAGCCAGAAAAAAGAAGAAAGGCTACGAATAAGAAGAGAAAGTGGAGGATCGGAGCCGTGGTTGTAATAGCACATGGATCCGGTGAGGAAAGGAAAATTGTAGAAACCTAGAGAATCACAGACTCTGAAAATATGCAATAGCATATATCAAATACACAACTTCATAAATATATAGTCATCGAAATAATAAAATATGGTAAAATACAGTTATTTTTATCTCTGGTAGCACTGCTAGGGAGGTCCGATTTTTTTTAGCTATTGTTAATACTGAATACTAAAAGCTCAATACATCTGTGTGGCAAACTCAGTCCAGAACTTGTTAGTCAAGATGCAGTTCATTACAGAAGGGTCCTTCCATAATATTGACGAAAAAGTCCCTGGTTGACGGAGGCGAGGGCACGACAGTGGAAATTCAGACTTGCGACATCCGGGTTCATTGTTGAGAATGACTGCACGGCCATAGCCAAAGTCTGCATGATACATTCTCGCATGCTCTGCGTTAGTCACGTATGTAATCAGTTTGAACCGCATGGAGTTTTGTCATGAATGTTCCAATATTGAAGCCGCTGGTCTCGATGGTTTCAATGTAGCTGCCGATAAATGACGGTGTAAGTTTTGCGATAGATCCTCGTACCTGAGTAGCAACATCTGCAAGCGCATGGGGTGTGATCGGCGACTGGGCATGTTCAATTGGGATTGAGACAACAGCATTGTATAGGGGGTTGCCGATATAGTTCAAATGCGATATTCCGAGGCGATGACGAAGATCGCACGTGAACGAAAGACGGTGTTCTCCGCTAGATTCCTCCCTGCGACCTGTCAGCCACGATAGCCAGCCAGACTGCTTCTTCTCAGCATCGAGTCTAGCTTGTCCATGGACTTTGTAAAATACAGCGTTAAGAAGGTCGTTGCTGGACATGCGTGCGCCCGGTGGCATGCACTCAAGTACTTTGCTGCGTAGCTCGTCGAACTTGCTGCGGGAAATACGAAACAGGTGCCCTCGCGCTGGAGAGCGACTATCCAAGTAGGCCATTGCTCTCCCACGCATGTTGGGCGAAAGCCATGCAATCCAGTCCCCTAAAGCTGAGCGCCGGCTATACGCCATACGGGTTCCCTCATCAAGTGGGGTGCGTTCGCTAGGTAGCTCACTGGTAATAACCTCACGATCAAAGCAGTAGACGACCTCTTCGGCTGGGCAATCTGTAACCAGCGCCTGAGTTTCGGCAGCCCATCGGTTGAAGAACTCGAAGCAGCTCGTGCCATCACCAGTCGAGTGGCAAAAGTTGGCAAAGAAAATCACACCACTGTTCTGCTTCAGACGAGCAACATAGAAACTGCCAAGCTTGATCGTCCCCCGCGTCTCTGTCTGGGCACGTATACTTGCCACACATGTCTTTAACATGTGGCCATGCGCTGGGGCTGAAGTCAGCTTTGCTGATGTCACTGGAAGTGTATGTCTGACTGGAACTCGTGGTAGATGGGCATGTTGAGATTGTCTTTATCCACAGCAATCACCATTTGACCCTCGTCGGTTTGCTGAAGGTGGCCGGCAAGAACCGGGTAGCGGGTGAGCGCCCGGTAGAACCCTTGTTCGAGTAAGGTAGAAGGCATGAAGTCATCTGAATAGTCGCTGTTGCCATAAAAGTACACGTGGCGAAGGTTGACTAGAGACAGCAAACTATCGTATTTGCTAAGTTTGTAGATGTTCGACTGGACGTTGCTTTTGAAGTAATCCATTATTGAAATGAGTTGACAGGTGGTTGTTGTGAAGGTCCCAAGAATAGCTTGTCTGGCGGTCACCCCTGGCCACATATAGGGTCGCAGTCTTTGGGCTTTGCCCTTGGAAAAACCAGTCCATTCTTTCCTTTTCCATGTGTCTGTCTCAGCTCTGCGTACCAAGCAATGTGATATAGTATGAGAAGAGATGCATTGGTGAGAACTCCGGTTGTTAACAAAAGTTTATGGCGTTGGATCACACGACATACTTGTTCAGGGCCATGAAACAAGTACCAGCCACACATACAGGTAGGGTCATGTCTGTACACATTGAAACTCGCCGCTCTGGGGTCCTAATTCGCCAAAGATAAAGTGGCAGTACCTGTGGAGTAGGCAGCGGCTTAAGGAGCACTCCTACTATACCAATCGAAGAATGAACTTGCCCATGTTGCTCGTGCGAAGGATCCCGCATACGCTGAAGAAATTTGTATTGTCTAGAAATGCTGTATGGGAACAGCCACTAGCTCCCATGGCACCTATACCTTGCCCCAGCATACTCCTTGACCATTGGGAGATGGCAGACTTGTGTATTTGTTAAAGTCCCAACATGCTCCTCCCTAATCTTCATGGCTTTTCCTTTCTAAAACCGCACTGCGTCCGCGACATCTATGCCTTTGAATCGTTTATTCGGACAAGAATCACTTGTCAACCTGGTCGAACCCCTTGCAGAGGCTGGCGTAGCTAAGGTTGCAGCAGCCCTGGTTTCCAGCATAATTTGCTATCGAATTGTATATGCGCTTTTCTTTTCGCCCCTCCGCCATGTTCCAGGTCCATTTTTTGCACGCATTACCAGCATGCGCGCAAACATCATTAACCTTTGTGGAGGTATGAAGCATGCTGCACATGCAGACGGTGAGGCGTATGGCGACATCTACGTGCTTGAGCCGAATTCCATCTCGATTTCCCACCCGGACGACGTGCGCACAGTGCTGCGCTCGCATACATTTGTCAAGTCAAAATTCTACCAGTCTCTCGAAACCGTCGGAACCCCGCACACCTTTAGCTCAAGCGACCCTGGGTTTGTCAGCATGCGCCAACGGCAGATGGGACCGTACTTTCAGCCATCGTATTTGAGCCTGATGGAGCCTAAGATTCTGCGCTACAGCTGCCTTGCGCTGAAAGAAAAGTGGGGACGGCTGCTGGACAAGAGTGCGGATGGCAGGATTGAGATAAACTACAGCCGTGACTTCTCACTAATGGCATTCGATGTTATTGGCGTGCTGGCGTTTGGACAGGAATTCAACAGCCTCAAGAACGACGATGAAACCGCAGCTAAATGGGTAGACAGCTCTACAAAATATCATGCAATGCTTGCAATGTTCCCGGTAACAAAGTATTTTCCGTTCTCGCTTGCCATTAAGCTTTGGGAGAGCCGGTACCGCGAACTGTCCGAGTTTGGCAAGCAGTCGGTTGCCAAGCGCAGGAAGCACCTGGAGAACGGCGGCGAAAAGCCACATGACCTTCTGCAGGCGTACGTCGACGCCCTGGATCCAGAGTCCAAGGTCCGCATGAGCGACAATGAAGTCCGGTCTGAGGTCAATCTGACCTTGCTGGCAGGCGCCGACACTACATCAACCACGCTGGCATGGACCGTCTCCCTCCTGATGCTATACCCCAAGATGTATGCCCAGGCAGTTGACGAGGTTCGTAGCAAATTCAACACCAACCACGTCATCACGTTCTCGGAGGCGCAAAAGTCGCTGCCCTTTGTCGAGGCCTGTCTTTTCGAGTCGATGCGGCTGTGTCCTGTAATTGGGGGACAAGTGCCGCGAGTAAGTCCTCCCGAA